AGCTCTTTTTCCTCAGGCTTGATCAGCCTTTCTGCTAGATGAGCCAGGACTTTCCCTAGGGCTTTTATAGCACTGTCCTCTGTGGACTGAACTGAACCATGTGTTTCTGTGAATTGCTACTGGCTGCACATATCATATAGCCATTCTGACCCATGTGAAATTGTTATCCCAAGCTGAAGGCCTTCACACTCACCTTTTTAATGAAATAGGATAAACTTGTTGGAGTGAAGCTTACCAGTGGCACATTGATTGCAGACCAGGTGATATTGGGCACTGATGCTACAGGCTGGATGAGGGTTGTAGGGAAGAAGGGGTTGTAGTGTCCTGTGGCTGACAAATACAAAGTCACTGCAATATTGAAGGGCAGAGTGAAAACAGGAAGGTCCCATTTACTGAAGATGGATCCCAAAGCACTGGACAGGATTGGACTGAGAACAGAAGGAGAAGAGAAAAAAGTATAACTTGTTCATAACACGTACAGTGGTGAAACAGCCTACCACTTTGGTCATAAGCTCTGGTAAATGCAAGCCAATGCCACTCGTTTTAGAAACATCAGGTAGAGAATACCTTTAATATATTAGCCTGCATCAGCAAATGGTTGCAGAATGCTGTTCATCTTTTTGCAACAACTATCACATCCATTCATGGATGGTATAAACTCCACACCCTTCTCTCAGGACATTTGGCTAGCGTGCAAGTGCTCTGCTAGGTATGCTGGGCTCAGGAAGACAATGAAGAAATGCACCCAGAATAGCCTTTAGGCACAGACAGAGAAAGGTAATCTGGCTTCTTATTCAGTAGAAAAATCTAACAAGAAACAGAAGAGCAAATCTGGGGAATGGAACAACCATGGAGAACTATAGATGGTCCAAAAAAGCTGCCATCTTGAGGAGGCAAGAGGGAGTTGGAAATTACCTAATTTGCTTTTTTTTTTTTTTATTTGTTTAAATACTTTGAAGGATATCAGAAGATGGTTCTGGAAGAGAAATAAAGCAGAAGAGGTGATCAAAGAGGATGTAAAATCTTCCATTAAGAAAGATGGAAAGTATTTACTATGTTAGACACTATTTTGGGGGAATGAGGAGTCCTTAGGACATACGGAGCCTAATAGAGCTGTGAAAGGTGGTGTGCCAGGCATGACTTTGATGCTTCTGTTTATGTCAGTGAGACTGATGTTACTGTGTGCTGCCCAGGTACCACCAAAAATCATATGGCATTTTCTGAAAACTGAGCTTCCTTCTTAAGAAACATGATTGAGTATATTCAGCATGTAAAGTATTAAGGGTGACCCTCAAAATATTTAGAAACCGAACACTAAAAAGCATGCAAACCTTGAGATACTGTGAGTTTTCCCAAAGTTCTTGGCTCTAAAATCCAGGATATAAACCTCACCAGATCTGCTTTCCTCAGGACATTTCCAGACTGCCTTATTTCTGGTTGAAGTGGGTGTCCTGCATGAATACCTTTGTGGTAGCATATTGGAAAGATAATATCTGTGTTTTCCGGGTCCCAGAAAGCATGTGGAAGACAGTGAAAGGCCAAGTCCTGTCCTTGATGGCAATAGGCTGTGCTCTGCTGCTTCCAGCCAAGCTTTCCTGAAATACGTGAGCTGAGCAGCTCTTATGGTCAACCTCCAAGTAGCAATGGACATTGCACAGTTTAAAAAAATCCATTTAAAAGCCTTGAATTTTTCAAGAAGCTGCATTTGAGTCCTAGAAAGTCATTAAGATGGTTCTAATAAAAAAAAACCACCCGAATTATTTGACATTTCAAAAGCAACATCTTGTGTCCTGTTGTGTAGATACTATCAGTGGAAAAAATGCTTTGTTCTCCCTGTATAATCTCAAATGAAGCTTATTCTTTTATGACAAATTTGGTTCCCAGAGCAGTTTACAGATTTCCTTGCTTGTAGCTGTAGGAAAAAAAATCAGCACGTCAGTGAAAACGGTGTCCTAATTGCCGTGCTGAAATACAAAGCTTCTGCCAGTTATACATCTTGTCAGAAAAAAAGGAAACAATTAAAGAAATGCTGACTTCTCAACATGAAATTCAAAGTATCATTTGAAAAAATCACTGAAATGTCTAATTGCAAAATCTTTCAGCTCTACCCTCGAGTCTTGTGAACTAAAAGAATGAATTAAAGTTTGAATAAAAAGCCTCGAGGAATTCTGGCAGACAAGACAAACTAAACATTCTTGCAACATGCCCTGGGTTTTGAGAGGTTGTTACAAAATGGCCTTTGCTGAGAGTGACTAAAGAAATAAAATATGAAAAAAAGTCTGATTTTAAAAGCAGTGAAATGCAATAATGACTTGCATCTTATCGCTAACAGTGATTAAAATGTGACTCTTGAATTAATTTCAGTTAAGGCTGTTAAATAGATTCTGCAGTGCTGTTAGGGTCCATATTTAGAAATGGTAAATTTAATCCTGAAAGGACATTGTCTGGCGTTCAGAGTTACTTGGAGAAATTAATTTTGCTCACGACTGGTTGCATGTCTGAGAGGGGGAGCATCGGGTTGGTTCAGCGCCTGGATGAGGAAGGATTATATGGCGTTGGACACAATGACATCCACCCTGAATGTGTCCTGCTGATAAGGGCCATTGGCAGAGGCCTGAAGCGGGGCTGCTTTGTCCATGTACCATAATCAGTATTGTCTGTGTACCTGACCTCCTACCAACGTGCCTCACAAACTCTGTGCACCAATGAATGACTCTTTCCAGTGCCACCATGGCTGGAGCTGATGGCATAGAGGGGACTTCCAATGTGTTTAAGCTGTATATAGCAGGACTCCTCATTCTCTGAGAATTGTCCCTAGGAAGAGAAGTGGCACTTACCAGGCCATCGATATAACTGCCACAGGAGGAAGAAGCCACCAGTAGTAATCCCCTTTGTCAGAGAAGACAGCTATGAGCAGTCCCACCAAGATCCCGTTATAGCCGTGCAGCCCAGCTGCAATGGCTGATCTGTGATGGAAAGAAATGTTTGCAAGACAGCAAGTTGTGTTGAAGGTGACCTGTCACAGGGACCCACTGAAACACAATTTATGTGTTCTGCTCCCAGTGAAGTGTAAGGGAAGGATGAAAAAGCGGTGAGGTAACTGCCATATTGCATTGCAGTGGTATGTGGAAGGCAGGAGTTTGGAGACTGATAAATGATGATGATCCAAGGGGTTTCCCGTGACCCAAAGGACCTACATGACTGTGATGATGGTTACTGGAGAGAGATAACTGTTTGCTCTCACGAAGACAGCCAACTATGGGGACAGGCCAGCTGTTCCTGGACCACAGCTTGGTCCTCGGGTAACTGCATCCAAACCATCCATAAGGAAAACTGGTCTTTTGTCTCTAATGTACTCAAATGTGGGGCTATTACCCATCAGTGGGTTCCTGATACCATAAGGATCAATTTTTATTAAGTGCCTGGACGTGAGGTACCACCTACCTGTCCTGACTGAGGGCCAGTGCAGTTAATGTCGACACGGTTGTTCCAGTACAGCCCGTGAGCATCCACCAGGGACTCTGGATGAAGATCCCCACTAAAATGATCAGCCCGCTGAGAGGGTTGTTGACAAACATCACCTGAGAGGTCCCTCGCAAGATCCAGTCCACCAGCTGGACCATTAGGGGCTTATCTGCAGGAGACCAAATGAAAACGCTGGTGATAAAGCATCATTTCAGCCCACAGAACAGAGGCGATGTATCAACAGGACTGTAAAACTGGTCTCTGATTTATTGCTGTCTGAGCGTATTTTGCATCTGGCACTTGAAAAGCTAATAGGGATGGACTGAGCACTGCTATAAAGTTCATGGAGGGATTCATAAAAATGTGGTTTATTTATGGTGGTCAAAGAATAGTCTTTCTTTCATGGTAGATTGCTTAAGATTCTGCTATAAATTTAATGAGGAAATAGTCCTTTTTTGCTGTATGAGTCCGATGCAGAGAGGGACTGAGACAAAGACCGAAACTAGTTTGTACCTGGATAGGGAAATATGAAAAGGAAACACTGTTGCTGCTTTAGGGACCCAGAACATGGAAGTACACTGTATATAGGAGATGGTGTCAAACTCTCAATGGTGTCTAAAAAAGTACTTTGGGAACCAAAGAACCTAAATTAAGACAATAGTTATTATAGTTTGGACTGTACTCAGGGGAAAGAGGCATTTTCGAAGGACAAAGAGCCATTGCTCTTTAGACAAGACTGTTGAACCCGGACAGAACAAATGGGCACCAAGCTTGGGTACCTCAGGTGAGTGCCGGGGGGGGGGGGGAAAAGGGCTGAGGGCAGCCTGTCTGAGGGCATCTCTGTACAGTGCTCCTAATGATCTCCATGGGGCAAGGAGGGTCTTGTAGCACTGCAATAACTTTTTGCTGCTGGTTCTTTTACTGCACATTGACTTGAAGTCCTTTTCTGCCATGCTTCTGGGAAAGGTGTAAACATTTCTGGACTGCTGTGCATTGTTAAACATGATACAAGGAGAATAAATGAGAAAGAGGGGGCTGCTTACATATATAGTATGTTCATGCAATGTGTACATGAAACTTTCATCTTCTTAAATATTTAAAATTAATTCAATTCATTTAGATTGTTAATTAGACACAGCATAAAGTGTCAGACTACTTTTTGAATCTGGGCAATGACTTATTCCTAAGAACTCCTCTCTTCCCCACTCCCTCCTTTTCCACTTCCCTGTGTTGTATTTACAGTCAAGTCTCAAGTTTTGCTTTCTGATGAGATTAGCTTAAATAGAGGATCTTTGAAAGGCTGGGTACCACTCTGTATCTCTTCAGCATCACTGGGAGAGCCCTCCCAAGAGGCTGGAGTGCAAGTTGAGGCACGGCTTTGCAAGCATCCCTCAGGCTGTGTGTTGTTGGGGAGCCAGGCAGTTACAATCAGGGAGGAATGAGCTCCTTAGAGAAAAATGACCAGGCGAGAAAAAAAACCAGGCTTGTCTGAAATAATTTTTACTAATATTTGGTGTCGAGCTATGAAATATATCAGCAATGCTCATGGTTTTAGACACAAGCATAACTGGAAGTGTTCAAATATAACTAGTGGGAAGTAGCCAAAGCTTTTGAGAACACTGAGTAAGAAAAGCTGTCTGCCAAGCATGGACCACTGAAGTAAAGAGAAAGCAGGAGGAGATGTTCCCCTGTGGCTGGGGATCACACTGCCAGCCTGATGAGCTCCCTGCCTGGAGGCATCTCAGCCAGCCTTCTCCACCAACGTTAGCCACTGCACAGCCTGGCTGTACACGGCTGTCTCTTATTTCTCTCCTGTTGTTGGAGTTGTACTGCTAACAAACGTAGTCTTGACAGAGGACCCACAGTTCTACATAGCCTCTCAAAGCCCCAAATCCCTAATAATTCTGGTTAACATGGACCATCTGCTCATGTATTGTTCCTGTCTGGACAGTAAACCTTTGAGATCAGTACTTGCTTTGTATTTTATAGCAATATAACAGCCACAGTGCTTATTGCTCCCCCAAGGCTGGTAATGCAAGAGCCTTTGCCCACACAATCAGGAGTCAAGTCCCCATTGCCAGCCCACACGCAGACGAGGGGATGGTTGCTGATCCATAGCACTTACAAACAAGGCTAAATCCCCAGCCCTGATATGTGATTCTGGGCACCACTATAAGGAACGTGATGCTAATGACACATAACTGATTAAGTGTAAAAGACATCTTTTGCCTGTGCTGAATTATGCCTGCAGCCACGGTAATGGCAAGAGGATGCAGTGAGATCCCTTTCCTGAGAATAAAATGGTCTGGGTTAAAAGGACAAAAGTTTGCAGTGAGCTAGGACCACGCTGCCTCTGCTCTGCCTCAGGGGGTGAAATGGCCCCTCATCTCGTGCCCCAGCACTGAAAGTACTGTTGGCAACATAGATGTTCCCAGTTAGATCTTCCTAGCCAGAGAGCCCCAAACACATCCCTCTGCTTACTTTTCATCCACTCTCCATATTCTTTCATTTCTCCTGTGAGATACCCAAAAACTTGGTGGATCCGATTTCTGCATCTCCCCAGCAGGTCCTGGGCTCTTGGCGTCTGCTCCACGTACAGCTGCCTCTCGCCAGGACGTTCAGCCACAACGATCTCTCCAAGCTCCATCTCTTTTGGGTAGTGAGAAGAGGTAACTGTAAATCACAAAGCCCGTGTGTTAGAAAGCCTTTTAGATTGTGCCCTGGCAACTTTCTGCTGTACTTTAGAGCCCCATGGTGATATCCTTTTTCAAAGATGGGATGTTTAATGGAGAAGGGACCTGCCTGAACCACTTCTGAGAGTGGTGTGTGCTGCTGCCTGGGGCAGTGGTGTCTCCTGTTGGGGATGAGGACCAGGAAATGACGCACTGATGTCATGGAGCTGTGGCACAGAGCTGCAGGGGGAAAGAGGGACGTGACATAGGTGCCCTGCAGCATCCCACCCTCACTCCAGCTCCTGATGCAGCATGTGACAAGCTGCTGGTTGGACAAGGGACATACCCTTTGCCAAGTAACTGAGTGGTACCTGCGTGCTGTTGCAACTACCAAGGAGGGAACCTGCTGATGTTTGGCTAGCAGTGAGCTGGAGGGAAGCAATGCAAATTTACAGTACAGTAGCAGACAGCAGGAGACAAGAAAATACTGAAGGAGAGGCTGAAACCTGTATCCTATTTGATGTTTTGAGCTGGTATGTTCATATATCACAGCAAATCTGTGGCCTTTCCATGCTCCTCATTCCACATTTGCCTTTCATAGACTATCAAGAGCAAACTGGATTAGCATCAAAATATTGCACAGAAATCAGCATCCATGTGTGGCTTTAGACAAAGATAAGCACCTTGGTTCAGGGCTGTGTGCTCTTTAGTTAACAGGTGAATATCCAGGCAGGATTAAGGATATAATAAACACCTTATTACAGTTGCAGGGCTCTGTTCGTTAAAAGGTCCATTAAGATATAAACCCTTAAGAGAAAATACACTGCACCGCACCCTAGTGAGCTACATTGTGGGTTACATCTGCAAAAATGCCACCCTGCTTTCTGATGGAGTCTGACATCGGCTGGTCTGTGGTTTGCTCTAATGATTTTGGAGAAGTGTGGCTAGATTTCTAGGTGTTGGCCAAAAGTGGACTGTGTTGTGAAGTGCTTGCCCCGTGTTTCATGGAATATGGGCACCACCTTCTGGTGGGAGCCTGTTTTTTGCTAGCTCAAACAGGCTGGCTGTCAGTGTTAAAGCCTGTAGCAGCAGAAGGACAGGCTGGGAAGGGATGCCTGGCTGGAGGGAAGGCTGTTTTGCAGAGAGGAACACTGACAGGCAGATGGTAAAAATATCTGTGCCTCTGAATGCCCTAATAAGAAGGTTCTTGAGCATCAAAAGATGCTTTCCCTTCACCCCTGGCAGCACAATGCCAAATGCAGCCCTGCCTATGCACTGCACAGTTTGTTGTCTAGTGCTTTGGCTCTCTCTGCCGGCAGCTTGTCCCTACCGCAGCAAGAGTCTTTGTGATGACCTTCGTGCACAAGCATCAGCCTGGGGCTGGATGTACGGGCAAGCAATGTTGTTACGTGTAACTGTAAAAGCTAAACCTAACCAGCACTCAGTTTGCTTGATTCTAAGGGGGAGGAGGATTATAAAAGGTATTGCATGGTCTAAAGCAACAAAATGGGGTTGTGCAAGGAGTTGACACCCCCAAAACCTTGCTCATGAGCATCTCATGAGGTCATGAGCGAGGAGGTTCACAGGTTCTGTCCAGCTGCGCTCAGTGCAGGAATAAGCAAGGAGCAAAAAAGGAGGGAGGGTGTGGGTCTGTTGTGTCCATGTGTCCCCCCTGCTGTGTTCTGTCCATCCTTCCTATATTTCATCCCCTCCTTCCCCC